TGTGCCCTGGCACCAGGGCTGCTGGCTGCTCCTGTCACACCTGCACGCAGCAAAGGGACAAAAGCAGGCAGGGCACCCATCACAGGGGACTGGGAATTGCTCAGACAGGGTACAAACTGTGGGTACCACTGGATAAAAAGCCAAAATAAATCATAAAAAGTGTTCCTGAAGGACAAACTGCACAGATGTTCCTGAAGAAGCTGAAATTTTTGAACACCTGTTCTGGATATTCACATTTTAAGTGACTTTAGTGTAGGTGTGATTTGGGCTAAGTTTACAAAGGTTTATTGTGAATTTATTTTATCTTGATTCTCAGAATCTTTTCTAGGTTGTTCCTCCTAATTCCAGCAGTTAAGTGATACAGCACAACCTATTACTTTTTAAATAGCAGAATCTATTTTTAGCATTGCTCCCTAATTCAAACCTTCTGAACCTAATGAAAGATTTAAGTCTGGAAGCTCTCTAGCTTTTAGGATGGGAATTTGCCTACAAATAAAAACGCCAGCAGAGCATTTATTTCCCCTTTGATTCTGCTTGTCTGGTAATGTATATTTGATGTTGGGATATGTGGGGGGTGTGTACATACAGATCATTGTAATGGGTATGGAAACTCTCAGGGCTTCAGCACAGCATGGACATGAAAATGTGAGATCCTGGAGGGATTCAGGCATGAAAACTCTGCTTTGTGGGGACAGGATTTGTGCTAAGGCCAAACACAGCCTCAGTTCACTCAGCATTTGCTGCTTCCCTCTGCACCCATTTCAAAGGGCTGATTCTGATGAAATTCAACCCCTTTTGTGACACACACTCACAATGAGAGGTCCTTCAAATGTTGAAATGAGTTCTGAGGAATTCCTCATGCCTGACATCTTTGCTGAGGGATCCAGCCTGTTGTCCATAATTTTTGTTTTGTTTTTAATTTAAACTCTGCCATGTGTGCAAGGCAGAAGGAGCTGAGAGGGCTAAAAACTCCTTTGAGTCCTTCCCCTGGTCAGCCTGGGCGATGTCTGGAGGGCTTTGGATTGATTAAAGTCTTTCTTGCTGCTAAAATCTTAACAGTAAGAAAGATTTATTAAAATCTTCTTGCTTTTCCTTGGAGTTTTCAACCCGGGGAGGGATGAGAGGATGGTCTGCAGGGTGTGGGGTGAGTTATTGTCCTGGAAACAATGCAGGGAATGCTCACACAGGGTCTCTGCTGTGCCACCCTGTGGGAATCCAGGGCTTCCCTCTGGCTGCCCTGGCAGGTCTGGGACCCTGGCAGGGGTCAGGAACCCCCCTGGACAGAGCCCCCAGAGACACTGGCTGTGATCTCTGCCCATGGAAAAGAGTTTTCAATCTTACAGGATCAATTATCAGCTCTGAGTGTTTGATATAAGTAATAATTAAGTGTGGCACGGGTGCAAAAGTAAAATTTTAGGATTGTAGATAAGGGGTCCAAAGGGGACAAGATGGAGGAAATTGGGTGTGCCTTGTCCTTTTTCTCCTTCTTCATGCCCTCCATGTTTCACTGTGGTGTTGGCATTTTTCTGTTGGTTCAGGCTGGGGACACACTGTCCAACGTAGGTGACAGATATTGGCACGTTATTGTAAATCCAGCACAGGTAGTTTGTGGTATTTAATGTTTGTACCATCCCACTGAGGGCAGAGCCCCACACGCTGCCCTGCAGGACAGAGCTGCGGCAGGGCAGCAGAACATGTTAGAGATAAACAGAATAAACAACCTTGAAACAGCACAGACCAATTATGGCTTCTGCTTTGGCAGCGGGGCTGACAGACAGAGACTTTCTACAATCTCAGAATCATCAATACCTCAGATTCCAACACCACCCAAAGCTTCCAAAAGCATTTAAAAACAATAAAAAAAAAAAAAAAGAAAAAGAAAAAAAAAAAGAGTTGGGATAAGCAGGAAAAGCAATGCCAGCTCCTCCTGGAGTCAGGGGAGGGAGCAGAGCAAAGCCACAAGCAGCGATTCCCAAAAATTCTTGACAGCACAAAGAGCTGCCCGCAGGATGTGGAAGGGGCTGGAGGGTTTGGTGGGCAAGAACTGCGGAGCCTGCAGAAATGTGGCATTGCTTTTGGATGTGATTTCTGGGAAAATCATCCCTTTTTTTCATCCATTGTGTGCAGGATGCAGCCCTTGAGGCCACCCAGGGCTGGGGAGCTCTGTGGGGGAAGGTTTGGAACAGCACAGGGAGAAATAAATCCCTTTGTGAGCCCAGCCCTGTGTCCTGGAAGGGGCAGACACTCCTCTGGCCATCCTTTAAATGAAACTTCAGCTTTTAACCATGAAAATGGTTCAAACCTTATCTATTTATTGAAAGTCTCATTGATTTGGACTTTCCTTGCAAGGTCTCACCTACAAAAATACAACTTCAGGGAGTGTTTGGAATAATGAAACCTAGAAGGGTCCTGCATCTGCTTCTGGCTCCTTTTTCTCTCCTGTGCCATAAATTCCTGCACATTTCTACACCTAAATCACCATTTCACCCCTGTTTGCTGCAGCAAGGCCCTGCCCAAACTGTGGAAAATGTGAGATTTGTTCATGTTGAGGTCTTTTGGGGTTTTTTTGTGGGTAATTTCTGTACCTGGCTCTTATGTTGGGTTATTGTAATAGGCTGTTTTATCTTCCTTTCAACATAGGAAATAAAGTGACACTCCTGTCTAGAGAACCTGCAAAATTTAAACTCCTGTGGGAGTTTTCAGGCATTGATAAATCAGGGGGTTGTAAATAAGATTTTTTTTTTCTAATAATAATGTTATGGAACAGTTTGCACTGTGTGTGAGTTTGGTTATTGGTTCAGTGATGAGTCAGCTGCAAATTATTTCTGATTCTTTGAAAAAATAAAGGGTGCTGTAGGAATTTGTCACTGGATGAGACATCCATTCCACTGGATGTATCCCTGGTTTTTCTCTCCTTTAGATGATGAGTTTGTAAGCACAGGGCTCCTCCTCAAATCCACAGAGAATTCCTGGGAGCAGCAAGAATCCCTCTAAAGTGTGAGCTCTGCTAAACCCAGCCTGTCTAAGCCAGAAAGGAACGAAAACTCTGCCATAATCTCACAGCAAATTTCGAATTTTACATGAAAAACCTCAATCAGAATTAAACTTAAAAACTCAAAGCACCTGTGAGGTTGTGCACGAACCCTCAGAGCTCCACAGGGCTGGGGAAATGTTGCAAATGTCCCTGTTGTGGTGCCTAAATTAAGATTATTGATCAGTGATGTGGCGAGTGGCGGTGCTAATGAGGGCAGCCCGGGCTCCAGGGAAAAGCTGGGTTCGTCCTGGGCAGGAATTCTAATTTTATTTGGCAGCTGGAGCTTTGGGAGCAGCGAATCCAGTGATAAACTGGATTATTTTTCCCTTTAAAGAAAGCAGCTAATGTGGCTGGGAGGGAGATTTCACTGGAGCTTTGGCAACGCTCTCCCTGCCCTAAAATTCTGGGTATTTAATGTAGTGGATGAGAATTCTTGATAAAGTGGTTGGGGAGGAGAAATTAATCTCCAAATCTCAGCAGCTGAGGGATGCTCATGGTAACTCAGAGGCAGATCTGAGAATGGGAGCGGGAATAGAAAAAATTTTCTACAATTGGTCCTTAAGAAGTGGAAAAAATGAGGGAGAGTCATGTTTGATGTCAATTTTCTGTCTGTTTTTCACTTGAAAATTCAGGATGCACTGTTTAAATAGCATAAAAGTATATTTTAGTATATAATAATGTTAAAAATATAAGAATAAATCCAGCCTGAGTAACTGGAACCTCTTGTGCTCCTGCTGTGTCCTCCCAGGATTGCGTGTTCAGTCACATGTGGGACTTCCCAGTGCTCTGAACTTCCCCAGTTTTCAATATTTCCCCAACTTTCGCAATATTCGGCCCAGGAAGCAAAATATTTCCTCTCACTTCATTTCACAGGGGAAAAAAAAAAAAAAAAAAAGAAAAAAAAAAAAGATTTTAGGGTTTTGTCTTGAACAGCAAAACTGCAGAACAACTCAAGTGCCCTGCAAAGATTTACACCCCAAAGGCAAAGGGCATTGCTGCCCCATGGGAATTTGGTTGGGGAATTTTTGATTTTGAGCCCTGACCCTGGAATTTCCCTTTCTCTGGTCTCCTGGGGCAGTTTGAACTGAGTTTTAATTTTCGGGTGGATTTTTGCCGGGTTCCGTGGGGGTGCAGGATAAAGCTGGGGCAGGTGGTGCAGGGCTGCAATTCCCATCCCTGCAGCACCTCCCGGGCCCCTTTTTAGGGCGTTTTTAGGGCGTTTTGGGGATTTTGTCTCCCATTCCGAGGGCTCTGCTTCCCTCTAGCGGGTTCGCTCGGCACTCCCCTTTTAGTTCTTTTTTAGATCCTGACAGACCATTTCTGACAACTCGATTTTTTTTTTTTTCCTGGCATTGCTATTCAAAGTTTCTTCCCAATCCTACTTATTCCACGCTTTTCTTAAGTTTAACCCTCTTCTTCCCAGGCTGGTTTCTTATTTCTGATATACGTAATATTTTTGACATATATGTTTCTGAGATACATAATATTTCTGCTATACATAATATTTCTTGTATATATTTCTAACATACACAATATTTCTGATATACATAATATTTCTGATATGTATAATATTTCTGATACAGATTCCTGACATACATCATATTTCTGATATACATATTTCTGATATATATTTCTGACATACATAATATTTCTGATATATAGAGGTGCACAGAGAGAAATGGAAGAGAAAACAATTTCTATTTCTGCTCCTTGTTTTCCCCATGTGGAATGTGTTTGGAGAATTGTTTCCCTGGGGTGATGCTTGGTTGGGTTCTGGTGAGGATTGTTTGAGCCTGGTGGCCAACCCAACCCACCTGGGGCTGGACTCTCAGAGAGGGGCACGAGTTGAGTTAGAGTCAGAAAAAATAGTATGTAATTTTTAGTATCCTCCTTTTATATAGTATATTAATGTATTTTAGCCTAGTTATAATAAAGAAATAATTCAGCCTTCTGAATTGAGTCAGACATGGTCATTTCTTCCCATTGGGTTCACCTGCATTTACAATACCCTGGTGTCGTAGCTGAGATGGAGACAACACAGAGCAACACTGCATTTTCAGAAGGTTTCAAACCTGTTTTTATTGCAGCATGCACGCTTTTTATGCATTCTTACAGAACTCTTCAGTTTACACTTTACTCATTGGCCAGGAAAGACAAACAAAGTGCTTGTTGGAATAGGCAGCTGCAGGTTTCTCTTATTTATCTCTTATTTATCCTCCTTTCTTTCTCGGTTTCTACGTCAGTAACCTTGGTAGGAAATTCTTTCGGGGTAAACGTGGCTCCTCTTCTCAAACTTCTCTCTGGCTCACAGAAGCTGCTGTTAAAACCTCTTCCACACCCTGCCTCTGAGCACTTTGAAAATGGAATTTTGTCTTCCAGCTTCGTGCTCCGTTTGGCTGTGCGAGGCTCAGACCGAGTTCAAGCGGGTGGCTGAGGAAAACGTGACCCTGCCCTGCCACCACCGCCTGGGGCTGCTGGAGCAGGGCAGCCTGGACATCGAGTGGCTGCTGCACATCTCCGAGACCGTGCAGAAAGCGGTGGGTTTGGCTGGATATCCTCACTTCAGTCAGGGAGAAAAAGAAAGATTTCAGCCAGGGAAAAAGTCTGGAAAATGTAAACAATCGATTTTCTTGTTTGTTCATATTGTTTATTGATATGTTCCACCACACTGACCTAAGCCCAGTGCACCAATCAGGTGAAATGGTTTTACTCTAAGACCTGTGGAATTAATGTTCATGATGTTCTCTATAAAACAGAAAAGTGCTTTTGAATAAACTTACATTTACCTTCCAAAATCATGCAAGTCATTTTGCCCCTCCCTGGCTCTACAGCATCAGGGTTGCTGAGAAAATCACTTTATTCCTGCCTTCATGCCACCAGCCCTCCATTTAACAGCACTGCTGTGCTGAACTTTGCAGGTTGTTGTGGTGATGAGGGCAGGGTTTGGAAAACAGAGCTGATTTAGAGAGATTTAGAATGTGGAACAATTATTTGATATCCAACACAGACCCGGTTCGGTTACAATATTTTTTTTTTTTTTTAATGTAGTCAATCTTCATTAGATCGAGTTCAGAAGTTCCCTTCAGGCTTTCAAAATAACCTTGGATTTTGCAGGCCCAGTTTTTGAATCCGTGGTTTCAGTACGACACAGACTAAACAGTAGTTTAATCCTTATAAAAATGAGGTCTGCATCGACTTAAATTAGCACAGCCAAACCTGCAGACTGCTTTGATGTGTTGTGGTACAAACTGATGCCTGTTTTTACACTTGTACAAGTGCCCAATATAAACCTCCAGCAGAAATAAATCCACTTTTTGCATTATTCTCAGGGTAGAAACCCAGGTTTGCTTTCACACCCTGCCCCAGGCTTCCCGTGTGACCTTTGCCAATTCACTTTGCCGGGATGTGCAGCTCCTGGAAACGCTCGGATTTGTTGTTCCATGCGAAAATCAAACAACTCAGTGCCTGCTCTGCTCCTCAGGTGATCACCTACTCTGGAGGCCGTGTTTATGATGACCTGAACGAGGAGCAGAAGGGCCGTGTCTCCTTCACCTCCAACTTCCTCGCCGGAGATGCATCCCTGCAAATCATCTCGCTGCAGTCCAGCGACGCAGGGAAGTACATCTGCAAGGTCAAGAACGCCGGGCAGTACGAGTGGGCTCGCATCACCCTCAAGGTTGTGGGTAAGGACAGCTGCTTGTGATTTATTAAAAATATGGATATTGATCTAGTACCGATATCCAGCTGTGACGGACAAAAACTCTCCAACAGTTTAAAGTTAGAAAGTGAGTGTTTATTGTGTGTGGGATCGCTCCCAAATCCACACCGCACCTTCCAGGTGATTACAGAACCCTTTTATCCATACAAGTGTTGAATACCCAAAATACAAATACATATTCATCATTTTGGAACATCCCATTCCCCACTTCCTATGCTGATCACTCCAAAAGCCATTCAGCATGCGTGGTTTGTTCCTTGAAATGGGTCGGTGTCCCTTTCATGGGGAGGGGTCCCAAAATGAGGAAGTCAATGAAGTCTTCCTCCTTCTGACCTTTCTACCTTTTCAATGCCAATCTGACAAATGAACTCTTGGTAGAACTCCCATTCCTTGTCTTCAGTTGGTTTCAGAACTGAGGAGGCCACAATTGTCTTATGTTCCTAAAAGCTCTTTGTCACTTTGTGTATTCTTCATTATAAACCCATCTAACTCAACATTGTGCTGACAAGCAATCAATTATTAGTTAACTACTAACTTCATCAAGGCCTACTCATTTATTTTATTTATTTTAATTAACTCTAGTATGGCTTATCTCTAACTAAAATCACGAAAAGGAAAAGGAAAAGGAAAAGGAAAAGGAAAAGGAAAAGGAAAAGGAAAAGGAAAAGGAAAAGGAAAAGGAAAAGGAAAAGGAAAAGGAAAAGGAAAAGGAAAAGGAAAAGGAAAAGGAAAAGGAAAAGGAAAAGACAAAGGGAGGGGGTTTAGTTTTCCCCTAAAAACCATCACTGGTGTGATTCCTTAACGTATTCCAGGGAAGGCAGCTCTTGGGAGTTGTTTAAATGCCAAATGAAGGGTTCCCATTGCGCAAACTCTGCTGTGATGGCACGACCTGTCTTCTCCTTCTAGAGAAGCCCTCCAAGCCCAAGTGCTGGCTGGAGGGGGAGATGCTGGAAGGGAAGGAGCTGTCCCTGCAGTGCCGCTCCGCCTCGGGCACGGCGCCCATCTCCTACCGCTGGCAGCGCATCAGCGAGGAGGACGAGAGAGCCGAGCACCTCCCGCCCAGCTCCAGAGTCAGTGAGTCGGGGCATCCCTTCCCTCCGGTCTGGGATCACTGCGGGATGCTCCAACACTCCTCCCACCGCTGCGGCTGCACCTGGGGGGATGCTCCACCTTTCCCCCTTCTTTCTCCCGTTCCCCCTTCTTTCTCCCTTTCCCCCTTCTTTCTTCCTTTCTCCATTCTTTCTCCCTTCTTTCCCCTTTTTTCTCCCTTCTTTCTCCCTTTCCCCCTTCTTTCTCCCTTTCTCCATTCTTTCTTCCTTCTTTCCCCCTTTTTCTCCCTTCCTTCTCACTTTCCCCCTTCTTTCTCCCTTCTTTCTTCCTTTTTTCTCCCTTTTCCCTTCTTTCTCACTTCTTCCTTCCTTCCTTCCTTCCTTCCCCCTTTCTCCCTTCCTTCTCTCCTTCCCCTTTCTTTCTCCCTTCTTCCCCCCTTTTTCTCTCTTCTTTCTCCCTTTCCCCTTCTTCCTCCCTTCTTTCTTCCTTCTTTCCCCTTCTTTCTTCCTTCTTTCCCCCTTCTTTCTCCCTTCCTTCTCACTTTTCCCCTTTTTCTCCCTTCTTTCTCCCTTTCCCCTTCTTTCTCCCTTCTTTCTTCCTTCCTTCCCCTTCTTTCTTCCTTCTTTCTCTCTTTCTCCCTTCTTTCTTCCTTCTTTCCCCCTTCTTTCTCCCTTCCTTCTCACTTTCCCCCTTCTTTCTCCCTTCTTTCTCCATTTCCCTCTTCTTTCTCACTTCTTTCGTCCTTCCTTCCCTTTTTTCTTCCTTCTTTCTCCCTTCCCCCTTCTTCCTCCCTTCTTTCTTCCTTCCTTCCCCTTCTTTCTTCCTTCTTTCTCCCTTTCCCCCTTTTTCTTCCTTCTTTATTCCTTCTTTCTCTCTTTCTCCCTTCTTTCTCCTTCCCTCCCCCCTTGCCATTGTCCTGGGGCTGATTTCCCCCCACATCCCCGCATGCCTGTGTGCACTGCCCACAGCTGCCATTTCCTCATCCCGCGGGTTCACGGCGGTGTTTTTTCCCTGCAGACATCTCGAACCCGGGGCAGGTGCTGCTGAAGAACCTCACCCGGCTGAGCGCGGGGCTGTACCGCTGCCTGGCCACCAACGAGGCGGGCCAGGAGAGCTGCGAGCTGCGGGTGATGGTGCAGCGTAAGTACCGCCCTGGGCAGGGAATCCCCCCTCCCTGCCGGCCAAAAACGAGCCTGAGGGCTCCTCTAACTTCATTCCAATCAAGGGAGAAACCATGGGGCATTTCCTTTGGTCTCTCCAATTTGTAGAGAACACAGCTTCCTTTTAATCCCAATTTTCCAGCCACATTTCCCTTCCTCTTCCCCACTGGCTGAGATATTTGAGAGGTTCAGACTTCCCAAATATACAGATCCCCTTCTAATGTGTGCCCTCCTTTTTCCTTTTCCTTGTGTCAATCAAGGTTTCTAACAGACCCAGACATCTGAAGTGATAAAACCATCATCTGGCCTGCCTTTCCAATCAATGGAATTCCCATGGAATTTATGCTTCTTCCCATTGTTTCTTTTGTATCTCAGCATCCAATTTTATTTATCAGCAGACAGTTTGTTTGCAAAGACAAATCTCTCTCATTCTTTTCATCCATTCATCGATGGGATCTTCCCCTTTGTTTCTTTTATCTCTCAGTACTGGGTTTATCTCCCAGCAGAGCCACAGTTAGTTTGTAAAGAGAAATCCCTCACTCCTTTCAGCCAGAACCCTGTCCCTGCTCCCGCTGCTTCCCAGCTGTCCCACCTGGAAAATTCTGTGCTGCTCCTTTGCCCTTTCATACTTTAATCCCACAAAATAGCTCCCATTTATTGCATTTTTGATTCACACAGCAGCCCTCACCTAAAATAACGTCACAGCCTGGTTCCAGATGATGGTTTTGTCACTTTAGATGTCTGGCTCTGTTAGAAAAGTTGATTTTCAGAGGGATTCATGAAACACAAGCAGGGAAAATGGTAAGTGAGGGGTTCTTCTGGCTGGAGTGATTGCATGTGGTGACTCTCAGGTATGAATTCTCTCTGTGGAATTCCACCACTCCAAATTATGTATTTGCTGCACTTGGGACAGCAAAATATCTAAAGGCAGTTGGAAAGGCTGGCTGGGACAGGGACTAATTTGCAGGATAAAAAGCAATTTTTGGCATAGTTTAATCGGGTTTAGCCATTTGTGTCCTGAACAGCAGAGGGCAAAATCGCCTGATTAACCCCAAAGGGTGTGTGCAGCCCCCGGCAGGGTGTCCTTCCCATCTGCACCCAGGAAAAGGGTGGGGGTTATCACCCAAAGCCAAACAAGGCAGCTCAGCAGCTGTGATAAAAGAAGTCTCCTCCTGAAGATTCCACAGCTTTGGAATTTCTCTGCCCAGCCAAGCCTGAAATTCTTGGAATCTGAGCTATTGATGATTCTGAGATTGTAGAAAGTCTCTGTCTGTCAGCCCCGCTGCCAAAGCAGAAGCCATAATTGGTCTGTGCTGGTTTCAAGGTTGTTTATTCTGTTTATCTCTAACATGTTCTGCTGCCCTGCCGCAGCTCTGTCCTGCAGGGCAGCGTGTGGGGCTCTGCCCTCAGTGGGATGGTACAAACATTAAATACCACAAACTACCTGTGCTGGATTTACAATAACGTGCCAATATCTGTCACCTACGTTGGACAGTGTGTCCCCAGCCTGAACCAACAGAAAAATGCCAACACCACAGTGAAACATGGAGGGCATGAAGAAGGAGAAAAAGGACAAGGCACACCCAATTTCCTTCATCTTGTCCCCTTTGGACCCCTTATCCAGAATCCTAAAATTTTACTTTTGCACCCGTGCCACACTTAATTATTACTTATATCAAACCCTCAGAGCTTGTAATTCATCCTGTAAGATTGAAAACTCTTTTCCATGGACAGAGATCACAGCCAGTGTCTCTGGGGGCTCTGTCCAGGGGGGTTCCTGACCCCTGCCAGGGTCCCAGACCTGCCAGGGCAGCCAGAGGGAAGCTCTGAATTCCCACATGAAATAACTGGAATAGGGAATGAGGAAAACCGGTTTGCCTCGGGCATGTGAAGTAAAAGCGTCCAGGCAGCTTTTATGGCAATTGAACTGAACTGGTTTAAAACCTCCCTTGGCTTTGCTAAACCCTCCTGAGGGACTGAGTTTAAGGAAACAACTTTCAGCCAAGTCCAGCCTGGCCACTTTTATCCAAAAAGGTCCTAAACGACCAGCAAGGGCCCATAACCCACGGGAAATGTTCTCTCATTACCTCGGCTGCTTTGGATGAACAAAGCCCTGCCCAGGATGGTTTCCTTTCCTGCTTTGTCTGCCTCAGCCAGGTCACTTTTCCTCCACATTTGAATAATTCATTCCAGAATTAGGCTGTAATTATTCACGGGGAGTTAAAGGGGAAAAAAAATCCTCACAGGGAAAAACAGATCAAACATTCCCCTGCCTTGGGTGCTGGCTGGTGCCGTGTTTCACATGGGGGCTGTCCTGTATTTGTATTTTCTGTATTTTTACGCTCTTAGAAGGGGATTTTCCCTCCTTATCTCAACTCTGGCGCACAGCTGAAGGCACAGCACTCGTGCTTTCACCTTTGCACAGGTGATTGCCTCACTCCCTGCCTGGAGATGAACTGGTTCAACTTCTGTGTGGAGGCACACCCAAAAAAAACCAACTCCAGCGCTCTGTCCTGAGTTATACCCAGTGCTGGGACTTGTAGGGAGGACTAGAACCTGACCACGCCAACAAGGGCTCACCAATAAATTTGGTTTTTTTGGACAACAGATGCACAAAACATCAGCATGATCGCCGGGGCGGTGTGTGGAGTGGTGGTGGGGCTCTCCCTCCTTCTCCTGGTGGTGAGGTTGACCATCAGGAGGAAAGAAAAGAAGAGATACGAGGAAGAGGAGGCACCGAACGAAATCAGGTAACGCCTTCTGTTTAATCCCACCTCCCACACTCCCTTCCTGTGCTTTCCCACGGCTTTGCACCCAGGTTTTAACTAACTGTAAGCAGCTTTAAGTGTCTTCAGAGGTTGTTCAAAAAAAGCTTTTTAAGCCTCCCTGAAATATCACTGACAAATTTCTGGATGGTGAGAATCTTCGTGAAGACTTTCCAGAAAATCAGATTAAAAGCTAGCCCAGCAAATTAGCACAGAACTCAACCAACTGTTTTCTCTCACATTTGTAATTTCGGTAGTTTGAAACATTTGCATATTCTTTTATGGTGTCAAATTGAAGCTGTTTGTCCGTTGTGGTTTTGAGGGGGTTTGGGGGTGGTTTCCTTTCCTTCTTTCTTTTCTTCTTTCTTTTTTTCTTTCTTTTCTGTCCCACTCTTTTTCCCTTATTTCCCCCCTTCCTTCCCCCCTCTTTCCCCCTTCTTTCTTCCTTCTTTTCCCCTTCCTTATCCTTTCTTTCCCCCTTCCTTCCCACTTCTTTTCCCTTTCCACCTACTTTACTCCCTTATTTTCCCCTTCTTTCTTCCTTATTTTCCCTTTCTTCCCCCCTTCTTTTCCCTTCTTTTCTCCCTTATTTTCCGGTTTTTTCCCCTTCTTTTCTCCCTTATTTTCTCCTTCTTTCCACCTTCTTTTCCCTTCTTTTCTCCCTTATTTTCCCTTTCTTCTCCACCTTCTTTTCCTTTCTTTTCTCCCTTATTTTCCGGTTTTTTCCCCTTCTTTTCTCCCTTATTTTCTCCTTCTTTCCACCTTCTTTTCCTTTCTTTTCTCCCTTATTTTCCCTTTCTTTTCCCCCTTCTTTTCCTGTCTTTTCTCCCTTATTTTCCCTTTCTTTTCCCCCTTCTTTTCCTTTCTTTTCTCCCTTATTTTCCCTTTTTTCCACCTTCTTTTCTCCCTTATTTTTTCCTTCTTTCCACGTTCTTTCCCCTTTTTTTCTCCCTTATTTTCCCTTTCTTTTCCCCCTTTTCCCCTCTTCTTCCTTCCTTTTTTCCCCTTTTTTCCCTCCGGTGGCAGCTCCTATTTGAGGCCCAGTTTAGCAGCCACCTCTGAGCCCTCGCTGAGCTTTTTGAACAACTGTTCCCCGGATTTAGCCCGGGCTGAGCACGGAGGGAGCAGGAGCAGGGTGCAGCTGACTCCTCCTGTTGCTGGAGCTCATCTGTTCCCTGCCCTGAGCTCAGCCTGGCCTCCAGCCAAGCCAGCCTGACTCCTCAGGAAGGAAACCCTGCACAGATCTCTTCAAAGATCTATTTCCAGCAATGAGTTCCAGCTGCCCTCCAAGAAACAAACCCTTGATCCATCTTTCCATTGATCTGTGCGACATCTCTGCACTTCCATAATCCCTCCAGCTGCTGATCACTCTCAGTTTGCCGCCACAGAGGCGTTCTCTGCTGATTTATTCCCCTTTTTTTCCTGTTGCTTTCCTTCCTTTTCACTTGGCGCCTCTCTTGTACCACCCTTTCACTCCTGCCTGTTACATCCACCCCCTCCTTCTCTCTCTCCCTGCCAGGACCCGGTTTGGCGCTTCTCTCCCTACCCACAGGGCTGGTTTTTAGTGGAAAAACCGGTTTCAGGCCCTTTGTGGCTCTGGCTGAGGATTGCAGAGCAGACAGCTCAACCTGCCTGTTTGCTCTGACACACACAGAGCCAGCGTGTGTTTATTCCAAATTCATTTACCAACACTGCAGGGCAATGGGGACTTTAATCCATCAACTTACCCAGCAGAGAGTTTGGACAAATTGCAGGATATTAAAGTCCTCCCTTCTTTCCCTGGCAAATTTGCACAGACATCAACCAACTGTTTTCTCTCATATTTGCGATGCCAGTATTTTGAATAATTTGCATATTCTTTTATGGTAATAAAGAAATTTTATTAATAAATTAATAAAATTATCTTTTATGGTGATAAATTAAAGCTGCTTGTCTGTCCATTGTGACTCTGAGATGGTTTTGGGGTGGCTTCCTTCCTTCCTTCCTTCCTTCCTTCCTTCCTTCCTTCCTTCCTTCCTTCCTTCCTTCCTTCCTTCCTTCCTTCCTTCCTTCCCCCCCTTCTTCCCCCCTTCTTTTCCCACTTCTTCCCCCCCTCTTCCCACCTTCTTTCTGTCTTTTCCCTCTTCTTTCCCCCTTCTTATCCTCCCCTTGTTTTTCCTCTTCTTTCCCCCTTTTCTTTCCTGTTCTTTTCCCATTCTTCTTCCCCTCTTCCCCCTTTCTTTTCCCCTCTTTTCCCCCTCATTCCCCCCTCTTTCCCCCCTCATTCCCCCCTCATTCCCTCCTCATTCCCCCCTCATTTCCCCCTCTTTCCCCCCTCATTCCCCCCTCTTTCCCCCCTCATTCCCCCCTCATTCCCCCCTCTTTCCCCCCTCTTTCCCCCCCTCTTTCCCCCCTCTTTCCCCCCTCTTTTCCCCCTCTTTCCTCCCTCTTTCCCCCCTCATTTCCCCCCTCATTCCCCCCTCTTTCCCCCCTCATTCCCCCCTCATTCCCCCCTCTTTCCCCCCTCTTTCCCCCCTCATTTCCCCCTAATTTCCCCCCCTTTCCCGCATTCCCGGCTCTCCCGCAGCGCTCCGTGGGGATGACCCGAGCATCCATCCCCGCGCTGTCTCACCCCGCGTTCCCTCCTTTCAGGGAAGATGCCGAGGCACCCAAGGCGCACCTGGTCAAGCCCAGCTCCTCCTCCTCCGGCTCCCGCAGCTCCCGCTCGGGCTCTTCCTCCACCCGATCCACAGCCAACAGTGCCTCCCGCAGCCAGCGGACTTTGTCCACGGAGGCCACGCCGCACCTGACCCCTCCGCGGCCGGCGGAGAGGAAGGAGCCGGAGCTGCGGAGGGGGGACTGCGGCCAGGTGAAGGTGGCAGCGATGGTGGCAGCGCAGAGCCGAGCCTTCCAAACCGTGTGAGCCGGCCCGGAGCATCCCCTGGCCCAGAGCATTCCCGGCCCGGAGCTCCGCAACATCCCCTGGAGCATCCCCGGCTCAGAGCATCCCCCGGAGCATCCCCCGGAGCATCCCCGGCCCGGAGCTCCGCAACATCCCCCGGAGCATCCCCGGCTCGGAGCATCCCCCGACCTGGAGCATCCCCCGGCCAGAAGCATCCCCCTGCCCACAGCATCCCCGGCCCGGAGCATCCCCCGGAGCATCCCCCTGCCCGGAGCATCCCCTGGCCCGGAGCATCCCCCGGCCCGGAGCATCCCCCGGCCCACAGCATCCCCGGCCAGGAGCATCCCTGGCCCGGAGCATCCCCTGGAGCATCCCCGGCCCGGAGCTCCGCAGCATCCCCCGGCCAGGAGCATTCCCCCGGAGCATCCCCGGCTCGGAGCATCCCTCGGAATATCCCCGGCCCGGAGCATCCCCTGGTCCGCAGCATCCCCCGGAGCATCTCCCGGCCCGGAGCATCCCCCGGCCCGGAGCATCCCCCGGAGCATCCCCGGCCTGGAGCATCCCCCTGCCCACAGCATCCCCGGCTTGGAGCATCCCCCGGCCCGGAGCTCCGGAGCATCCCCTGGAGCATCCCCGGCTCAGAGCATCCCCCGGAGCATCCCCTGGAGCATCCCCGGCTCAGAGCATCCCCCGGAGCATCCCCCGGCCCGGAGCTCCGCAGCATCCCCCGGAGCATCCCCGGCTCGGAGCATCCCCCGGAGCATCCCCGGCCCGGAGCATCCCCCCGCTCGGAGCATCCCCCGGCCCGCAGCGCCACCTCTCACAGCCCCGGCCACTTCGCATCGCTCGGGCAGTTCGCCCTCTTCATGGTCACCTTCATCCTCCTCACTCGGGATTACCCACACCACCAGAAGCCCTCCCACTCGATCCTTCCTGAGCGTCACCGAGGTGCTGATACACACTTGAGAAGGATTTATTGGAGCTTCTTTTGAAATCATCTTTTTTCTTTTTTTGTTTAGTTTTTTCCCTTTGAAAATGAAACTCTGAGATTTAAAACCTACGACAGCAAAGCTGTGCTGTCGAGTGACACTGTACGAGTGAAAAGAAGCCAAACCTCAGGATTTTTTTTTTTTTTTAAGGGATCAACAAAGACTTAAAGATGCATAATATTCCAGAGAGGTTTTGTGGGCAGGGAAAAGTCCCTTGGACTGGTTTTGGAGAAGTTTCTCAAAGATGTGTTGTCTTAAGTGAGAATTTTGAGGCTGAGGGTGTCCAGCCTCAAAGGGAACTGACAGGTGCTTCACATTTTCTGCATTCGGCGACATACTGGAGGCTGTAACTAAAGTGGAAATTAAAGCATCACTCCCAAAGGCCAAGAAATGCAGTTTTAAGGTGTCTGAACTAAAGAGAAAGGATCTTTTCTGTCAAGGAAATAGAGGTGCTTTAACTGCCTGAATAAACTTTGGGCTGGGAGCCTGACTCTGCTTCCACGGGCAGCCCTGCAGAGCCACGGGGCCACTGGAGGGGTGCCCGTGGCTACTGAGCCTCAGGGAGGGGAGAACTGGGCACTGAACCCAGCAGGGAGGCAGTGCCAGGGTGGGGGGACCCCAATGTACCCAAAAAACCTGGATGGAGCCTCGGGAACAGCTCTCAGCCATTGTCCAGGTTGGGGGAGCTGTGCTGGAGAAGCCTCGTGGAAAGTTCTCCCCGAGCCCGAGTGAGCAGCACTGCCCAGCTGAGCCCCAGGGAAGGCCTGGAGGGTCCTGACAGAGGAAAATACACCTGGGGCAGGTAAACAAGCACAAAACGCTGCTCCCATCGGGACATCTCTGCGTGCATTGTCCCACTCCTACACCAAATGCTGGCCCACGTGCCAGGGATGAGGCTTAAACCTTCAGCAAGACTCTTAAAAAATGGCAAGAATTGTAAAAAAGATTTTTTGTGAGCAATCAGGTTAAGCGTTTCCACACAATATGAAGTTAGGAGAGGATGGAGGTAGGGACAGATGCAGAATTCTGTCATTGATGTTTTCCTCTGAAGGACTTGGCTCTGACCACTGCTACACACAAGACACTGAGCTTGTAGGTTCTAGATTCCTGTAGTCCTAGACTGGTGATTTTCTGTTTCAAAAATGAGGGTGTTTGAGGGTTTTTTTCCCACTGGAGGGAGGGAAAGGGTTTCTCCAATTTGTGGAAAGAGCCTAAAGAAGATGGATGAGCACAGATGTACCACAGATCTATAATTCTTTCACTCCAGGATTGTAATTAATCTCCTTTTCTGACCGAGACCGAGAATTCTAATTTCTTTACTTGAGATTTTTGACAACCTGATCAAAGCCAAGCCCAGCTCGGGCTACTTCCACATGGGGAAGAGTTTTCAAACTTGCCCTACACTATGTGAGAACTTCTCTTCCTAGGAGCAGTCACTCAAAATTCCATCACTTTCTCTACCCCAGATTTAACCCTTGGCAGCACAAATTACTGATGCTGTGCAGGGAAAACAATCCCAGTTTTAATAAGGGAGATCTGGTACGAGGTGTTTGATAAGCTGCTGGGGGTGGATATTCTATCATTCCACCCTGGATGCTCCAGCAGCACATCCCTGGACCAGCTGGGTGGGAAAAATTCGTCTGAAAAATCACACAGCAGCTCTGTGTGTCTGGGATTCCTCTGCAGTTGGGTTTTTTTTCCTGAGCCCTGAAGGTTCAGGTGCTGGGAAAATCCCAAAAGCAGGGACAGGAGGGTGGAAGCAGCTTGTGGGTTCTTCTGGGTGCTCATTGTGCTGAACACTCCCTGTGCTGGTGCTCCTGAGCCAGGATTGCTGTTCCTGAGCCTGCAGGAGCTGCTCACCACAAACCCAGCGTGTGACACTTCCAACAGCTGAGCTGGCCAAAGGCTCTGGGGCAGTTTGAGTCCCATCCCAGCCTGATAATTAGCAGAGAGGAGCTCTGCAGCCTGGTAATTAGCAGAGAGGAGCTCTGCAGCCTGCAGGGAGGAGAATTTGCCCTGGCAGGTTTTGCTGGAGCCTTTGGGCAGCATCTCCTGCTGTGACAGCACTGCTGGTGCTGTGAGCTCTGCTGGCAGGGGCTGAGAGCTCTGGGGAGGGTCAGGCAGAGGGGCAGGCTGAGCTGCTCTGGGGGATCCATCCTGGCTGCTCCAAGCCCTGAGACAGAATGGAAGCAGGATTTTGGGGATGCAGGCGCTGTCCAGGTATCTGCTTCAGCCCACACATCAGTGACTCACAGGGAAGGGAAAAGTTCATCACCAAAGGGAGCAGGAGAAAGGGATCATTCTATTTTCCAAGCTCCAGCCCATCAGGAGTTGCACAAGGGAAGCAAATAAGCCAAACCCTGTTTTGTAAAATAGTGTATTAAAGCATTTACTGTCATATACCAGCTATTAATTGTGTGATTAAATGCCTACCATGTTATGCAGCTTTTTGTTTCTCAGCAGCTAAACTAAGCTTCCATCTCTGCTACCTGCTAGGATTGGTGTACTTGTACTGTGTCTGAACAACTCAGAGGAAAGCAAATATTTATTATTGATTCCTTTGAATCAATGATTTAATAATTTTTTTTTTGGTTGGTTGTTTTATAAATAAAGGTGCTGCAGCTGAAGCGCTGCAGCTCAACTCAGCTCGTACCATTTTCTGTGGTGTGATGGGTTTTGTGCTGTCAAGCTGAATCCAAGGGGGGAAGAAAAAAGGATGGAGTTAAAAATACCATTTTTAAGCTAAGCAGGCCTCTGTGCATATTTGCATGGGAAGCGTGGGGAAGCTGGGCTTTTTTCCTGGGTACTTTTCAGACTAATTTAGGTGACATTTCCTGGGTGATGCATGGAAGTAAATGTGGTTTTATCTGGGGATAAACCCCAGATGTTTGGCTATATCTGGGATATTATCTGGGATATTTTGGCTGAGGATGCAGGTGCTGCTGGAAGCCAACCTGGTAAATAAATCATGCCAGCACAACAACCCCTGGTGAATTCATCCTCACCCTGCTGTGACCTTCCTGCTGAACCAGCCCACGCAAAAATTGCAAAATTGCGACATAACCAGGCAGCATTTAAAATAAAACAGGGTGACAACACAGTGGGCTCACAGGTGTGAACTGTCCTAATTCAAGAGCAAACTCTGTTCCTGTCCCACTGGAGTTGATGACATTAAAAACCCTGATTAGGTGACACACGTTTCCAGAGTTGTGCACTTGCAGACTTTTGTACAGGATCAGGAATTTGGGGTTTGTCCTGACACGCTGAGAGGGGGAGAACCCCGTGGGAAAGGGAAGGGAGGCCTTGGAAAAGAGTGATTTTCAAACTTCAGCGGATGCAAGGTTACATAAATAAGTGCTGCTGTGGTGAGCAGGAGGAATGCCTTTGATAATCTCCCTTCTCCTCCCAGTTCTGTTTTGAACACCGAAAGGAGAAGCAGTGCTAGATCCTTCAAACACTAAATTCACTCTCAAAAATAACACTTCAATCCATAATTTGAAAAAAAAAAAAAAACAACTCCACGCTAAATACTTAAAGGAAATACTTCAGCCTGCCAAGCTTTGATTGATGTGATATCAAGTCAATGAGCTCCTTTTGTCTGGTTTAACAGCCTCTAATTCCTGATGGGATGAGTCAAACTGCCCTCCTCCCTGCCCTGACTCACTTCCAGGCACTTCCCCTTGCTCTCAGCCTGCTCGCACATCTAAATGTCACCAAGCTGCTATTCTTAGGTCCTGCCGAAATTCTGCCCATGCTTTTAAATAAAGCCACCCCAAAAAACCACCGCTGAAGGCGAACAGCATGGGCACCATGGTGGGCTCGGTGTGAATTACGCTGAGGAGCATCTCTGGAGTAACCCTGGAGCAGAACACCAGGGCAGGCTGGACACCCAAATTCCAGCCCCAAAGCCACCCCTTTGTTATACATGAAAATTTGTCCAGCCAAATGAATACGAAAAAATAAAATATTTATTTTGCAATCAAGTTTTATCTAGCCAGCCACAAGGAAAGAACAGAGCCGAGCCCGGGGTCGGCCCTGGGTGTGCAACAAGGAGTCAGCTCAGCAGAGGTTTTCCTCTATGCCCACACACCTCCAGCCTGGCACAGGAGGGTTTTATAGGGAAAATTCCGCC